TATATTTATTGGTAAAAATGTATACTTTAAATGTATGCCATATTTATTGGTAAAAAATGTATACTTTAAATGTATGTTATATTTATTGGTAAAAATGTATACTTTATATGTATGCTATATTTATTGCCAAAAATGCTCCGGATAGAGAGTATGTAAATATAAAAGTAAACACTCAGGTCAACACCGATCGTCGACAGTCTTGTTTCATGCTGGAACAGTGTATTCAAGCTATATATATATATATATATATATATATATATAACCTGCCTTTACAGAATTCAAAAGCATTTACGTGGTGAAGTATTTTCGACCCTACAACTCTTTCCCCACAGACATTGAGGGTGAGCTTCTAGGCTCTCGTGAATATGTCGCTATATCCTTGATAAATGTTCAGAACGAGTTCCTTAGTTCAACCATTCCATATCATTATAGCTAGAAATCATCATGCCAAGTACATGTGGTCGAATTATCGGCATTCCCTTCGTTATAGATTGGTAAGGAGTAATTTTAATTCTGGCAGCTTCTTCCAAGAACAAACTCCCGGGAGGGTGCGTCCTCGATCATTACAATTTTATCCTCTTCAAGTTTATGGTCAACATACATATACTAATAATCAGCATTTCCTACTTCTGTTTGGTTAACAATAGTATACAAAATAAAACAATAACTGGATCGCTTCCTGAAACTTCCATGTTGAGCATAGAGTGACAGCCTCAGCCCGCTTGTGACACAGCCTCTCCACACTATGTGGTGCTTCTGTGGTTTCCGAGCCAAGTTGGTTTTTTACGAGGTAGAGTTGCTATTCTTACGACTAACCGGATTTCATTTAAGAGTTGTCCTTCTACTAGACTGTTTGCCAGCCAAGGCTAGAGATTGCAGTCTGTCATGCTTTTTAATACATACATGCATATGGATTCATATCTCCCCAATTGTATGTGTACGAAAGTGTTAAGAACGAGTTCAGCCCCTAAGTGATTCCTTCTTACAAGCAGCTTAGAGTTACACTACCCGCACATCCACACACACACACACAAACACACAGACACGCACATATGTGTGAATTTATATATATATATATATATATATATATATATATATATATATATATATATATATATATATGACAATAAATATCACGTATATTTACAAATGATATTTATATGTGAAAACGCACGCATACCTGCAAGTTTTTGTATATTTATATAAGGGTGGTATTCTCAAAATAACCTTTCCTTTGCGTGAAAATACGATTCCATATCGCTGAAAACTCTTAGCAGCGAATAATTTCCCATCACTTAAAAGAGAAGTAACGATACAGAATTCGAAACTTTAACTACATTCCAAATCCTCTTTTCCTTTCATTGTGACAGGAATCGATTTCCTTTGTCTCTTCAATCCGAAAAAATAGTTATGAGAAATTTTATTCCGTCTTCTACTAATAATTAAATGGACTGAACCCATGAACCTTACACAATAACGATCCACACCTAAGTTTACCTGGAATATCTAACACTGAGTTAAGTTTAATATTTCTTTATCGTCCAATCCAACCAATGTACACAAATTAAAAAAGACAGCCTGAAAGTGTATATATATATCATTTCGAGTGGAAGATTAAGACTGCATTTTTATATAAATTTTCACTTAAAACTTGGATCGGATTGCAAGCTTTTGATCGGCTGTATAATAATTTGTAAGAATTGCCTCTCATGGTGAACGTGATGCGTTGTTTGCGGTGGAAAAGGAAACGTTCCTAGAGTCATGTTTACGACGGCCAGAAGCTGGCCAAGATCGATGAACTGGAAGTGTGGCAATGAAGCCCGCGGGATATTCAGAGCAGAGATCAGAGGAAATGTGGTCTCTGGCGTATCAACAAGAATTCTTACTTGCAGCAAGACGTACCCATAGCACTACTTCAATTTACGCCTTGAAAGTGTCGTGTGCGTCCCCAGTGGTGAAGTGAGAGGGTCAATGGATGGATAGAATGGTACTGTGTACTGTTCAGTGGTTATGATTTAATGCAAATAATGGTTGTTTGCGTGTGCAACTTACATCTGAAGAGCGATATCTTTCTTTGTGTATGCGTTGACATATGCGTTCGCCCTACACCTAGTGTAATCTTAAAGGTCACCTGTGATTTACAACTCTCTCTAGCCTTAATGACTGGTGAAGGAAACGGTAAACGGTGCTATGTACACTCAAAATATTGATGAACCCTTTCTGCTTCCTGTAACCAGAAGGCGTTGTACTGTTTCAGCAGAATAACTCCCGTCTACATATTCCCTTGCTACTCAACACACTTTTCAAGGTATTCGACAACTTTCCTGGACGGTACACACTCAAGACCTGTCGCCTATTCAGCATATATACTATTGTTGTATACCTAAGGACGATAATGGGTATGTCCCCATTCGCATAGATACAGTAGTAAATACTGTATGTTGGTCCTCAGCTGGAGATTCTTCTCTAGCTATGCTGATCAAACTCTCTACCTCTGGGCAGAGAGTATCCCCAGACGAAGCTATGTCAAAGGGCAGGGTCTCGTCTCGGGAAAAAGCTACCCGACCCCGTTTTATATGGGATGTACGGGGAATTTTTGGCCGAGCCTACAGGCTCGGATACCCCACATTAAATTAGGTCTTTAGGCCACATCTGACTTCGTGGAGCGCTTGGTAGATATCATGCAATTGGAGATTCATTGTGGTATTCACTTGACTCAGTTATGGCAGTTGACTACTTTTACGCGCCGCTGGCAAATCTTATATGTGTTGTTCTTGTCCTAAGTATTATCGTTTATTACCAACCTTCGTTTGATTATTCTATTCAGTAACCTTCCCTAGCTTACAACATATACATCATGTCAAACTCATTTATTTAGCACGCATACAACACCTGCTCTTTTTTAACAAATAAAGAAAGCGTGTAATCATATATCAGGGATCAATATACGCCATCTTTACGCAGGTATGCAAGCGAGAGTAAAGTCATGTGTTAACGACCGAGAAAGATATAGAATGTGTTAATGTAGTCTGAATTCTATTAACCAAATGCTCATTTTAGAATTTGTTCGAGTGTTTCTTTATCCCTGATAATTAGTTTACTTAATATTAATATTAAACGCTATTATTTAATATTAGTTAATATTAATATTAAACGCTATTATTTAATATTAATTAATATTAATATTAAACGCTATTTTTTTATATTAACATTAAACGCTGTTATTCGTCCAATATGAGGTTGAAGAGCCACTCAAGGTAGAGTGTTACGGAATGATATTTTTATGGATTTAAGAATAATCTATTATGAAGTTATGTTAGATCACTAACGGTTGAACCTAGGCTTGTAGAGACTGTATTGGTCGGGCTGACATCTTCTCGGGTGTCTGTTTTACAAAGAAGCGGCTCTTGAGAAGAAGCTAGCCGAATGAGATTCCTTCTTATGAATGGAATACGAAGGAAATGAAGATGGTTTTCCCCTGTGCCTAAGGCCTGAACGTTTTTTTTTTGTAAAGGTCTGAACAGGTAGGACTAGAGAATTAACATAAATCCAGCTGGATTACATATGCAAAGTGTTGTCATTTTATTGACCGACAGTTTATATTTATATGTGTATAATTCACAAAGCGACATCCATCTTGTTGTGTTGTTGTTTGAGTCTGTATCATATATATGTAAACATGTTAAACGTTTATTTGGAAGATAATATTTTTGATGTGTGAATTTAGAGTAATCTAAATGTTCACACTTACCTGTAACATTCCTTGGGTTGTTATTTTTCGTAGACAGACAAACTACTCTAAGCGCGCAATCGTCAGTAGATGGAAACATTAAAATGAAAAAAAGAATTTGAAATTTTTAATCTTTCTTTTGATGTCGACTTCCGGTTTTTAAGCACTTCAGTATTACTTAGTATATTTTCCTGCCTTTTTCTTGCGATGTTGTTTTTAATATATACTGGATCAATCTTTTAGAAGTTTGTGAAGATTTTTTTTCTTGTTTCTGTGAGTTCATTAGTGCTTTGGAAAGTCCGGCATAAATTGGACTTACAAAGTAGTGTCTGTGGTTTGATCAAAAGTATACTGGATGCATTTATCTTGATTAATCAGAATGAATATTTAGAACACATCCGTGATAGTGTTTTCTTTTCGTCACTTCATTTGCGCTTGCTGATATGCATTGTAATAAAGCATCACTGCGCCGTATAAATGAGAACACGCGACTTAATCTCTCATATTTAACACTGCATTTTATTTCCCTTCATTACTTCGTCAGTTATTGTCTGCCAGAGTAGTGATTTTCCAAGCGTAGCTCAGATCTGGCACAAGGCCGAAAGTATGGGGCACTCAGTGCTGTCAGTCAGTGAGTATATGCGTAGTCTGATGTCTCGCATTTGAAAGGTTAACCTTGAATTTTCCGATGTCTGATCGACTGTACCATTCTTAGCACCGAGTTGGCTGTTTATATATCTATCTCTGTCATGCATCTCTTTCCAACGCTTGCAAAGCAGGTGCAGCTGTTACTACTACAGGAATCTGCATCAGGACGGCTAGAAGCTTACCTCAATCAACTCATCACTTGACTTCTTTGATGCTATTTTGCGACGTTGAATGCAGATTCCATTCTGATATTGATTCGGGGTGAGAAACACTCTGCAACAATAATGTTGCATTTTATTGTCAGTGAATAATATCAAACAAAGAACATTTCAGGAAAATGGAAACAAGAAGAACATTTATACGCAGAAGTAGAAAGAGACAGCTGAAATTTCTAGGACACATAATGAGGAAAGAAGGCTTGGAGAACAGATGAACGGATAACTCGAAGTCAAGTAGAACAGAGGGAATGATCGAGTAAACTACATAACGAGTGTGTGTAAATGGATGGTAGAACAGGAAGTGGGAAAGCATAGTAAGGAGGCAAACATTAATCAGTGCTACAAATGTTGGGAATTTCTAGAGAGCCATGATGACCCGCGACTGAAAGGGACACGGTGCATAGAAGTAGCAGAAAATCTATCTATCTATCTATCTATCTATCTATCTATTATAATTTAATAATTTATCTACCAATGGAACCGTCGTTAGATCCGGTGTACTTTAACCAACTCTGTCACGAAGAATTTTTGCCGATCAAGCCAGCCTGCTCAGGAGAACGCAGGTTCGAGCCCTACTGAAGACGCATATTTTTCTAAAATCCATTACTACTTTAGAAATAGCTTTGTTTACGTTTGGATACGAAACTGAACATATATGGAAATTTCGAAAGTCTATGACGAAAGATATTTCGGCAAAGCTTCTTCGTGACGAAGTCGCTTAAAGCATTTTGGCTCATAGTAATCATAAGTATTTATTTTTAAAACCAAATCATTTAACTAATACGATAATAGTGTAAAACAGTAGATCATTTGAAGTCATGATGTCAAACAAAATCGACACTAGGCTTAAGAGTAACAAGTGTCGGATCCGAATTCAAATCCCTCTCACACCTGATCGAGTAATTCCTTCCTGGTTGTCTATGTTTTAAGGGGTGTAACCTTACTAATCACGCTTGGCCAATTGCGGATTGATGAGACTATTTAATCCATAGTCGGAGGTTTTGAATTCAGAATTGTCTTTCTTCTATACCGGTTGTCATCCAATACTATAGGATCCAGTCTGTCCTACTATTTAACCATAGCTGGGGGACAAGATTCATACCTTTCCCAAGGGCATTTGTAAATAATGAACTCGACTGAAATTCGAACTCGGTTAATTCGATTCGCCATTCATTACTCCACTGTACCTCCATCAAACAAAATATATCGCCTAAATAAGGAATTGAAGTCGATAATATAAAATTCTGGATTGCCTGTAAGTGTGGTTTGTTTCCTTCCCCGTCAGTATTTCTGTCATATTTTTTATTTTATATTTTTAATCGGTCTCCTCCTCCTCCTGGCTCCAGCTTAAACGGACACCTTTCAATGTATCTAAATTAAAAATTTTCTGTTATTTTGGAAAGAGAAAATTCCACTGAAATATAGTAGAAATGTTTTTGGTTTTCAACTGAAATCAAGAAATAGGAACTTTAAACAAATTATCACAAGATATGGGGAAAAAAGAAATCATTTTAAACTCACGTCGGCAGGATGTGGGTTAATGCAGATTTCAGTCAATACGGAAAATGTAACAATATCACTTTATTCAATTTACGGGATCCAGGTTCATTTTGCATTAGCCAGGTTCATTCTTTCTTTCATCCACAATATCTATCATAATTCTTTCGTTTTAATTTCCTTAAACTATCTCAGTATGTACATCTGGAAAATTTCCACACATACACTCGAAATTTTAACTTCGCCGGTAAATAGAGTTCTTGATAATTTTTTCTTTACACTATTTGCATTATTCGGTCTATTGTCCTCATCTTTGTTACTATATGTATTTATTTATTTTTATTTGGTGATAAATATGGCAAAAAGGTGAGGACAATAGTCCGAAAAATGAAAATAGTGTATATAACTCCTCATCACAACAATATAGACCAATACTGATGGATCGAGACGGGCCCGATACACCGAAAATATGGCGTGATAAATATGGCAACAACGATTAGGACAATAGTCAGAATTATGTAAATAGTGTACATAACACCTCATCTCAGAAATATAGGTAGATACTGAAGGATCGGTACGGGCCCGATACACCGAAAATATGGCGTGATAAATATGGCACGAAAGATGAGGACAATAGTCTGAATAATGTAAATGGTTTATATAACACCTCATCTCAGAAATATAGACAGATACTGAATTCTTTCTTTGTTTTAAAGAAGCAACTTCACTCAACTTATGACAGATTATCAGGTACGGATTTGAGAGAGATCTGTATTCATCTTTGTTTCTAAAATCTGCTATTCAAACCCAGGCCAAAGCCAGGAATTTGAATGTTTATTTCATAGTAGGGAACGCTATTGAAAACTAAAGAAACACAGCTACATTTAGACTGTAATGTACTAAGCCACGCTTAGTCAATATCTGTTGCTTTAAGGTGAGTTATATTTGTTACTCTATCTGTTTGTGTGCTGATGCAACCTCTTCCCATTTGACTGTGACAGTTGATCATGCCAAGATAACATTCGCTCTTGAAGATGCTTGTAGGCTCAATTCACAGCTTTTCCTAAAAACGAGAACTCTATGACTTGTTTAGTAACAATGGCAATTTTAAAATAGTTTCTACGACTATGGAATAAGAATCACTTGAAAGAAAATTCATACTTCTGTGAAGAAATATGAAATTTGAACTTTACATTGTTTTCTCTCATTTGAAAATTAAAGAAAGGTTTGTAAAATCTTGATTCTTCTAACGAAATCATTGCTTATTGAGAGATTTCATTGAATGATTCATTTTATAAAGAAGCTCAATTAATCTTGGATATATGTAGAGTGTGTAATCATGCGATGAATGACAGTATATTAATATAATCATTTGGCACATAACGAGTTCAAATTTAGGGATAATTTGTTGAGTTCACTTTCGCGCTGTACCATTCGTACAGCCGGAGTGGGTGTTTATATATCTATCTCTGTCGAACGTCTCATTCCAAAGCTTGCAAAGAAAGTGCAACAGGTACGCTTGAGGGAAAGGGATGAATCCAGTTCTTCTCCCAGTTAAGAGTTAAATAAAAGCATAGAAGAAGTAGGGCAACTCTGAATCACAAGGTTTACAGCCGCATCAAGTTGAAACACCGGTTCTCGTACGATCGCTGAAGTTAAGCAACGTCGAGCCTAGTCTGAACTTAGATGGGTAAACGCTTGTATATATTAGGTACTGTTAGCGTGGGCGTGCAGTTGGTTTAATGGATGATGGCTCAGAATTGTTCATCGTGGGGTTGAGCTTCAATTCCAGATAGGTTAGTTATATTCATTTACGCGCAAATATCCTTGGAAAAGTTATGAATCCACATATTATCGCATCAGTTATGTGTTTATTAGTAAGAGCTCTATCACTAAAACCATTATTATCACAAAATAATTGCATACAAAATAATTTGTTCTCACCCTATACAAACCCCGGGGTGACTCGATGTAAAGGGTTGTGTTAAGGAGTAGTTTATATAGATAGGGTTGGAAAATAACAGTTAACTTGAATAGGTTAAGAGTAGTTATCGGGGAAATATCCTCTTGGTAGTTTGTTCCACAGACCAGAGGTTTGCGAGAAGAAGCTGTTTGAGTGAAACTTCCTTCTCACCGATGGGATACGGATGGAATGTCGGTGGTTACGTTTAAATAACCCATAGGTGTTGGTATGTCAATTAACAACTGAATAATTAACCGTGAAGTTAATGGGGAACCACTCTACTATATTTCCCAAGAAGCGTTGGTAATTCACTGATAATAAAAAAGGAATCTCTCTAGAGTTGTAATCGTTGACGTCCTGAAGTAAAGTGGCATATATGAAATCGGCATTGTGATGTATACAATTACGTATTTGTCAACATTTTGTTTTATTGAATGTTATCTTTTATTTTATTAATGATTTCATATTTTCCATTTCAAAATACAATCAAAATGTTATCCAGTGCTCTTCGATAAATGACTCACCTGATTTTTTTTTACTAAACGCTCTCTTCTCCGATGAAACGCATATTGTTCAACTGCTTTCTCGAGAGCCTGTACTTTATAATGATCCATAAGTTTTCTATGGGGTTGAGGTCAGGAGATTGGGGCGCCCATGTCATAACACTCACCTGCTTCTGATCAAAGTACTCCTTCATCAATTTTGATTTGTGACAGGGAGCATTATCTTGCATAAAAATGAGCTTGGTGGGTTCGATTTGCACCCTATCAGCAGAAGGGAGCAGAAAATACTCTACAATTATCTTGTACTGCTCGCTCCTGAGGGTCTTTTCAATAGGTTTTAAGAAACCAGTTCCATGAAAAGAAAAGCATCCCCAGAACATTATACTGAACGGATGCTTCACAGTACTTACTGCTAACTTCAAAGAGCTTTCAAAGATTTTAGATGGCTTATCCTTTAAATTTAACTCAACTTTCGTTTCATCGGAGAAGAGAACATTTAGTAAAAACAATCAAGTGAGTCACTTTTATCGAACAACACTGTATATTTATGATTTTGCTCTTTCTTACATTCGCCGCAGCTTCATTTAAATTTTGAGCCATTCAATATCTTGAATAAAATAGGATATCAAGATGACTCCCCTTATCCATTGACGCCAGCAATATATTAATGAATCAAATTAAACCTTGTTTATAGTTTACAGGTCAAAACCAAAAGTAACTACATATTTGACTTAAATAATAAAGAAAGACTTTATTTACTCGCTGTAACCTTAATGAAGCACATTTTAAAAAGAAAACAAAACTTCATTCTCTCATACGAAACAATACATTTTATTCGACTCAAAACATCGCCATTTACTGTCGGCAAGTGGGTATTTGGTTCTGACTGTGGATTCTACATTCTTGACAGGGAGTCATTGTTTCTCGCATCTCTTGTGGGCGTTTATATATCTACATGGTCTTCCCATGCGTATTACATACTAGATGCAGCTGAATCTTTTAACATGTTTGCATGTCGGGGAGAACTACTGACATTTACATCAGTTGGCTTTGGAGGCCATCTTTCCAAATCGCTGATAAAATTGATTTTTTTTCTGAAAGCCCCATGTTATAAATGCAGAAAAAATAATTTTTATCAATCTAAAATTAGAAAATGTTTCATTTATGATCACCGAACTCGATGAAAATATTGTCTATAATTTTCAGGCATATTTGTGTTTGTTTAACACCCAAAAAAACTGCCTGTGTTTTATAGTGCAGCTGAGCGGAACTGAGGATGTGGTTTGATGTGTAATAAATAAGGACACGGAATGTGAAATCAGAGCGTCGAGTTCGAATACAAGTCGGGTTTGTTGAATTCACTTACGTGCAAATTACATTAGCAAAGTTATGAATCCATTTCTCATCTCCCAATATGGGTTGAATAGCTGGATAGATTGGGTCTCATAGCCTCGGGCGATAACTAGTCTTCCGCTGAATGTAACAGCAGCTTACCGCGGGAAAAATCTGCCTCAGTCAGTCATGAATCAAAAGAGATATGTTCGCCCAAACGTGTATCACGTATGGCACTTAACTGACTCATTGCCTTGGAGAGAACAGAGAGCAGAGAGCAGAGAGAGAGAGAGAGAGAGAGAGCGTATAATATGCTGTAATCAAAACCTTGAAAAGGCCAGTACGAGTTGTGTGTGTGCCCAAACATCGTCTACACAGTTTCATTCACAAGTGTGTGCAGATATGTAGAAAAATAGGAAAGAACACGTTAGATAATAAATAAAATAAAACAAAATTCTCTTAACGACATATTATGGTGCCAAAAGTGATGTTTCGCTTTGATTGACAAGAAGATTTACGTACATGAATGCCATCATTCGCTTTGAAATGTATGCCCCCACTCTGTCTCAGCTTGACCTCTTTCCGAAGGTGACTGATATGTGGATAAAAAATTATCTCTTAGGCCCCTTACCAAAATAGTCGCCCCAGCCGTTTCCATAGTAATTAATTTTGCAAATGAACATGCTTATAAAGATGCGTAAATTTCAAGATTGGTTATTCCTAAATTTTCGCTTGTTCATGAAACAGGGTTTGATACTTTAACTCAATTTAATTTTAATAATTATATTGAGGCTTTTTTGCTCTCGTTTTTTAAACACATGAGAACTCTTATATAGCTAAGAAATCATATTTAAAAAATATTATATATATATATATATATATATATATATATATATATATATATATATATATATATATATATATATATGCAAATATACATACATACATATATATATATATATATATATATACATACATACATATATATATATATATATACACACATACAGTGGCCCAAATAAAGTTTTTAACCAGGAGAAATAAACTTCATCCAATTTCAAATTTTAATTACGTAATCCCTACTCAACATAAATAAACAGTATTTGGAACTGGTATAGTGTAGGTCTTCCATTTGCTAATTTCAGTGCTTGTATATGATTTTTCATGCATTTGATCAAGTTATCAACAATCGTCTGATTCATATTTTGCCACTCCTTTAACAATGTTTCTTTAAGGCTTGGCACTGACGTGATTTTGGTTGCACGCTCTTGAAGTTTTCGGTGAAGGTGCTCCCATACATGTTCTGTTGGATTCATATCAGAACTTTGGGCAACCCATGACAGTAACTTGATTCCTTGCGATTCCTTGCGATTCCTTCCAAGCTTTGCTACTTTACTCACATGACATGGCGCTTCATCTTCTTGATAATAGTAGACATTATTGTCAATCTGATTGGTTTGAAATAGTGGGAGTTGTGCTTTCTCTAATATTTGACAGTATTTTTGACCATTAAACAATTCAACAAGAATCAGCTCAGATTTTCATCCAAACCAGACAGCGCCAAAACCATTACTCCAATCCCTCCATGTTTCATGGTCGCCTGCCGAAATTGTGTTCCGAGTCTCATTCTGATTTCTCCAAACATAAACGTGTCTCCAATTCGAATACTGACAGAATTTGTTTTCATCTGTCCAAATTATAGACTACCAAAATTCATAATCTTTTCTCTCTAATTCTCTCGCCCAGTTCATGCCACTGTACCTGTTAACCCCTAAAATCAAAGGCTTCTTTCTTACAAATCTTCTTTGATAGTCTAGATTTTTCAGAGTCCTTCTCACCGCATATGGCGACATTTCCATGCTGTTGGCGATATCTTTGACGCTCTGACGACGGTTTCTGATGACTTCCCTCTCGAGTGCCCTTTTCGTTCGCTCAGACACGACAGTTGGTCTTCCTGGACGTTGTTCCACACAACAATGGCCTTGTTCATTAAATTTCTTGACAAAATTGTTAACCCTTTGAAGATTAACTATGAATTTCTCTATTATTACCATCCTATTATTTACCCTCGTTGAAATTCACCAATATACGTCAACTATCGATACTAACAAGATCTTGTCTGAAAAAAAAAGAAGTCAAAATTGCTGTAATTAAGGCTGGTTAAAAACTTATTATAGGCCACTGTGTGTATATATATATATATATATATATATATATATATATATATATATATAGATAGATAGATAGATAGATAGAGATATGGTTATAAAAAATTTTTAAATGGTATCTTTGAGGCAGATTCCTTATTCGATCCTTCAGAACATGGTGTCTTTCTCTGTGATGAATTGATATAATTGTTTCAGACATGTCCAGACCATTAAAATAATTTTATAGTGATAGAAATAAGTGAAGGTACAAGGTCAGTTGGGTACGTCGGTTGTAGCCAAATTAAACCAGTTTATGCTGCTCCTGCACAGAAAACCTGTCTGAATTTAACGTCTGAATCCAACGACAACATTAGCAAAGAAAACTGAGTAGTGAGGTTGTCCTGATGGAAGAGAAAACCCTCGCGATGGACCATACTCAAACACTTTTCATCGATTGCCGTTTGTAATCGTCCCATTTCAATGTCTGAGTGCAAGAAGCTTGTATTTCACAATCCCCTTCTAAACCCCAGATACAGTGCATCACCATCTAAAAATGCACGTCGAGTTT